CCCCCCCCCCTCCAAACCTCCATACACTCCCCCCAACATCCCCAACACCCTCATAACCCCCTCATAAGCCCCTATTCCCCCACCCCTGTCCCCGCCCCCGGCCCCTATACCCTTCCCATAACTTGCATTCCTCCCAGTATATTTCCCTCATTACCCCTGCGTCCTCCTCCCCCCCCTTCAATCCCCAATTGCCAAAAGTTTGTCAGCGGATTTGGGCTGTACTCAGCAAGCACAGTACAGCCCTGAACTCAGATTGAAAAAAATCAAATCAGTGGATGGCCCTCTACTGACTGGTTGGCAGACCGCCGACTGGTCGGCCCCACTGGTAGGCTGCAAAACGGTCAGCGGTCAGCATCGGCGGCCGACAGGCGTGCAACCCTGCTGCCATGTCATTTTGTGTGGTGCAGCATGTACCAAATCACACAGGGCATGGACTTGCAAAAATGGCTAAGGTTATTTCCTGCCGCTTGCTTGCGCCCTCCCAAGGGGGTTGCCCCGTGTATTCTGGATGTGTATCATTCAGCTATTTTGCGGCTACAAGATATCCCTCTCTAAAGTACATCTACTTGAAAGGCCAGCAATAGAAAGCAGATATTGTCCCAACCACGGTGAAAAAATTGCACTGCGTGCTCTCTCTGTCTCTGTCTCTGTCTGCGTGTGTGGGTTTATGTGTACCACTCAGCTATTTTGCACCTACAAGCTCTCCCCTCTAGGGAGTAGAGCTACTTGAAAGGATGCTGCTACCAATAGAAAGCAAAGCAGGCATTCTCCCAACCACAGTGAGAAATTGCACTGAGTGCTGTCTCTGTCTCTCTGTCTCTCTGTGTCTCTCTGTCTCTCTGTGTCTCTCTGTCTGTGTCTGTGTGTCTCTGTGTTTCTCTGTCTCTGTGAGTGTGTGTTGTCATGTTCGCTACACACGACTCCAGAAAGAAATCGTGACTGTGCCAGACTGTTTCTTTGGACGGGTGTGCGTTTTTGTAAACATTGTTCATTACCTTCTTCGCCACACGTCTGTGCTAAACTTTTGGATAATTCTTTTGGTATTGGGAGCTTAGGTGACGTGTACTGGTTCTTTTGTCACAGTCATACCGGTTGCCTGTGAACTCTGAACGCAGCCCGTCACAGTAGTTCCAGAACTCAATCTGACTGCGCTTGTTGCATCTATGAGGGGTCTCTTTGAAATCTCAATTCTTAACAATGGCTGCTTAAGTTCTGAACGATGGCGGCTCAAGTTCGCAAGGTTTATGATTGACGATTGCTCTCTTGGTTTTGCATCTGTGTGCAGTACAAGTTTGGTCCGTCTTTGATATCACTTGATCCATATGAGACAGTGGAGGCCTGGATTAGTGCTGGAAGCAACCTTAATCCGCGTCGGCTTATCCCAGCACTCATGCGTTATGCTAGCACTCCTCAACCTCCGTAAGACCGCTTCCTCCTTTACCTACCCTCGCCCACATTTCCCCCTTGTGGCTGTATACAGCATGTCATTACTATGCCCCCCTTGCAGTTTACAGGATTGCCACAGTTCCTTTTGAGGAAGGGGTAACCGCCAGTACTCCCCCAAAGTGGGGTTGTGCACACACCGGAACGCGCTGGGATGAACGGGCCTGCCGCGCCTGGATAAATTCATTTGAAACGAACCGTCACGGCACTGTAGCGATGGCTGGCTTGTGCACGGCCGCACTTTCCGGAAGTACTGGTGGTTTAAATGAAACGGTATTCACCAGTTCGCAGTAGCGAATGCAGATCCCAGGGCTCGATCCCTAGTTCCCCATCTTACCTGTGTACAGTATGGATGTCAACCCGTAGACTTGAACCCGCGACCTGTAGGACCGCCAGTGGTAGGCAGGGTTTCGTAGGTCACAGGGTAGAAGGGAATCGAACTGTAGACCTGTAGAGTAGGAGTCTAGACAGTTCCGAAGTCGTAGCTGTAGGATGCCTGAAGAGTCAAGGTCGTAGCTGCTACTTACCTGAAAGGGCAAAGTCGTAGCTGCTACAGCACCGAAAGGCCAAGTTCGAGACTTCTAGAAGTGGCCTTTAGGAGTTGGCCTGCGTTCAGCAGAGGCAAGTGGTCAAGTGGTGGTAGTCCACCTAGCCCAGTCAGCAGTCCCAGTCAGCAGTCCCAGTCAGTCAGTCCGGTCCTGTTCAGCAAGTACCGTCTGGGACTGTGTGCACATCGTGGGACAAGGGATACAGGGCAGACCAACGCAGCGCAGAAGTATAAATCAAGAGGCTGCGCCCAGCCATTCATTCATTCCTGCGGATGCCATGCGGAAGCGCTGCCCCAGCAGCTTGTGCGAGGAGGTCTGCAGTGCGCCCGAAGACGAAGAGGGCAGTGAAGTGTAGTGTAGCGATAGGATAGTGGCAGCCATAGCTGCCATAGCTATAGTAGCGCGTGTGTGTGTGTGTTGCGAGTAGAGTGTTGCGTGTGGGGCATCCAGGGTGATCCAGAGTGCGAACAGTGAGTTGTGTGGACGCTCAGTCGCCATAGCCAGTTGAAGAGAACTCCTACCTGGTTACGATATCTTGAGTACTGTGTGGGCGCATGTCGCCAGTTTGCTGT